TTAAGAAGCAGTTGGAATAGGAGCAGTTATGGGTAGAGGAGGATTGGTTGGAATGTGCTTACATTTACCTTTGAAAAGCACGTTTGGATCAGTTTTGTCGGATGAAAACTTCTGGTTAGCAGTAATAAATTGATGAATGAATATTTCAAATTTTACATACCATGACTAGTTATATGTCTTTGCTTCACCACAATGTATGAAATATGATATGTGATTCTGTGTTTTATTGATTTATATGCAGAAAACATACCTGTTGATGAGGGAATGAGAATACATTCAAATAGCTTGATTTTGATAGGATATTTTCAAATAAGCAGCATTAGGGTGGCTATCAGGAGATCAGTTTAGGCTTTGCTGTGCCGTTATTGAACAATACCTGGCGCACAATCATTTTAGTGACTTTAAACAAAGTTTTTGACTTATCTGGGCTTCAGTATCTTCATTTACAAAATGAACATATTGGAATAGTTTACTTTGGCAGTCTCTTTTTGCTTAAAATTTCCGTAGTTTTATTTAAGGTGAGGAAATTTGCCTTTGTCTTCTCTTTCTAGTCATGTTTTGGGGTTTGACATTTTGAAAGAAAGTTATCATTGTGGTTAAATTTGGCTTGACTCCCTTAAAGATGGGCTGTAAATATTTGGCTGTATATTCTTGAAATGAATTTTAGTATGACTACTTGGTTATTTCTGTGGACAGACTGTTGTGTCACATTGTGGTTGTATGATTGCCATTAATAACTTTGAAGTAAGCAAAGGAGGGTTGATTGATTTGTTTGTAACATACTGTACTATAGGATAGTATTAAGAAAGTTGGAAGTTGGAAGTGTATCTTAGAAATAATTTATCATCTCCCTCATTTAACAGATAGAGAAACGTACCCAAAAAATGTTTTTTTAATTTATATGCTTAGCTTGTATCAGAAAAAGAACATTGGTTTTATTCTCATTCAGTCATTCAGCAAACATCTATTTGAACCTGTCAGGGAGCCTCCTTTTGAAGACCAGGTTGTGAATAGTGTTATTAACATTTTTATTTTGATGTAAAATAGTTCTGTCTCTCTTTGATGAAGAAGGAAACACCTTTTGCTCTTCCCAAATATATTTCGCCTTCAAATCTTGACCATTCTATTTCTTCTTTATTCAGTGCTTATTGACTGAGCTGATATTCTATATAATGTACCATTTAAGGTACATATATTCAGTGTCAAGTAAAATTTCACCCTCTCAAATTGAACTTACTATCAAACTGTGAAATCTTTGTGATGTCCTTTTTTCTTCACTTTAATAAGCGCCATAGTGTTGTGGAGTACTAGCACTACCTCTTCCAATATAGTTGGGGCATATAGGAATGAACAATAAATGTAAAACATAGTGATAGGTGCTGTGAGAAAAATAAAACGTGATTAGTGGATATTGATCAGTGGTGTACTCTTTTATATATGTGGTCAGGAAAAGTCTCTTTAGTAAGATAATTTTTGAGCATGATGTAGAGGAAGTGAACATTCAATATCTGGGGTAAATAGCATTTGAAGCACAGCAGCAAATAGCAAGTATAGCAAGTGTAATAGTCTTACACTTTTAATAGCACACCAATACTTCTTTTTTTTCTTTTTAAGATGGAGTCTTGCTCTGTTGCCCAGGCTGGAGTGCAGTGGCGCAATCTTGGCTTACCATAACCTCTGCCTCCTGGGTTCAAGTGATTCTCCTTCCTCAGCCTTCCGAGTAGCTAGGACTACAGGCTCCCACCACCATGCCCGGCTAATTTTTGTGTTTTTAGTAGAGATGGGGTCTCACTATGTTGGCCAGGCTGGTCTCGAACCCCTGACCTCGTGATCTGCCCGCCTCGGCCTCCCAAAGTGCTGGGATTATAGGTGTGAGCCACTGTGCCCAGCCGTACACCAATACTTTTTAATGACTAATGTCATTATTCAGAGCCATAGATATTGAATGATTATACTATAATTGAAATGATGTACATTTATTTTCAATTTGTAATTAATTAGGCCAAAGAATATATTCTTCTTTAGCTTCACTTATGGCATCTAGGTTAATTTGCTTTGCTTTAGGCTAATTAACTCTTAATTTTTAAAGATCTTTAAACTTTTTTGGTAGTCTCTTCAATTTTTAAATTAGTAATAGTTATTGTCAAGAGGGAAAGAAAATAATATTTAATCAGATAAGTTTAAAAAATGCTGGTTTTACTAAAGGTAAACAGATTACTTACGAGTTTGTCAGAGGTTTTTAATATGTGAATATATGTTGTTAATTTCCACAATTTGTTTGACCATGGTAACCTATTTTATGTTAGCTTTTCTGTTTTATAAAGCACTCTCTGGATAACACTAGTGTATCTGACTGCATATATCCCCAGGGTAGGATGTATGCATCCCAAGAACTGCCTATGATGATCCACTAGGTTATAAACATAAAATGGCAGAATATTTATTTCTATTTAATTTTAAAAATGTTGAGCAATGAAAATAAAAGCTGTGCTAATATTTAGTAAATGGGTTGGCGCTTTTGCCTTACCTAGTTCCTTACATGAAACAGTAATATACTATTTGTGAATTATAACTTGACATGAATGGGAGTTCCGAAGTGATGAGTTTTAGTGATGTCCTCATTTGTTTGCTTGTTTATAGTGTAGTGTAGTACAAGAATTTTCTTAAACAGGTAAATGTATTTAGTTATTATTACCTAGTTTTAACTAAAATAGCTCCCACAAAAATGGGAAACTATCTTAAAATAGATTGTTGCCATGAAACATGTATTTATAATCATACTAATAAAAATCTGTGTTTATGACAATTGCTGTTGATTCTTTATGATTAGGTAGTTGAGCAAATTGTGATTTAGCTGTAATATGACAAGATAAAGGGCTTACCGGAAAAAAGAATTAGATGTTGATAATGAAATGTGACCTGTTTAATCAGTAAGGTATAATAAATAAGGGGAATTGATGAAAAAGGAAGTAGTAGCAGTAAATGGACAAGAACTATCAGCATTCTCTTTTTTCCTAAATATAGTTGCAGCTTAATTTTCTCTCAGAGCTCTTTCAAGTGACAGTGAGTTGTTCTTTGCAGTCATTCACGGTGGGTCACAGGCTGGCAGAGGCAGCGCCGGTTGCAACACGTGTCTTCTGCTGTCATCTTAGGCAGTGACATCCTGCAAGCCAATGTCAGAAGGGGAGTGTGTGAAAGATTGTATAGGAGGTTTATGTGGTTCATCACTCCAACCAACCTGGCATTAGTATAATAAATCCCACTTGATTGAGATGTATTCTTTATGTCAGTAGGTTTAATTTGCTGTTATTTTCTTTAGGATATCAGTCTTTGTATTTATAAAAGAGATTTAACTCAGAATTTTCTTTTCTTCTAAATAACTTTGCAGATTTTAGTATAAAGGGCATATTTTCCAAATAAAATATGGTAGGGAGTATTCCTTCTTTTCACATTCTCTGGAAGAGTTTGTGGAAGATATCTGTTAATTTTTTCTTAAATGTTTCTTAAGATTCACCTATGAAGCTTTGCGTGTATAGAGATTCCGTGTATCTGGAGAATTTTTTGTGTATGTGATTGTTTTTTTAGTTAATACAGGCACAGTTTCTTTAACACATATAGTACTATTCAAATTTTGTAATTCTTGTTTTAGTTTTGGTAAATTGTGTTTTTTGTTTTGGAGTTTTAAAATTTTATGTAAAATTTTATATTTATTGATGTATTTTGTAATATCTTCTCATTTTTTGAAATATTTATAGATTATATAATGTCCTGCATTTGTGCCTGATGTTGGAAGTTTTGTGGATTTTTTCACTTCATTATTTATTATCTTACTACTTATTTCACTTTTTTCTCGTCTTTTTTCTCTTTTTGCTTTCTTTGACTTACTCTGTCCTATTTTAAAAGATTCTTAAAAATATTTTCCATCATACTATTCTTTTTGCTGTAGTCTTTATTTATTTTATTTTATTTTTTTTCCACTCTCTTTTAGTTTCCTAATTCTGTTTCCGACTCTCTTTCATCTGATTATGTCATCTATTGAGTTATTAATAGTACATATTTCTCGGGTCTAGAATTTCTATTTTATGAATTCCAGTTCTCTGGTGAAAGTCTCTGTCCTCTCTGTTTTCTCCATTTCCCTTCTGTTTTTCGGATGTATTAAGAACTCTTACATACATTTTAAAGACTCTGTAATAACTAGCATCGAAACCACCTATGGCCCCATCTCTGGACCTATTTCTTTTGTCTTACCTGTTTTCTGTGTGTGTGGGTGTAGGTGTGGGTGTGTGTTCCATTTTAGTTTTGTCATTCTTATTTCTGATAATTTTGTTTCGGAAGCTGGGCATCATATTTGAAAAACTGGAAAGACTGTAGGATGTTAACAATGTCCAAAGAGACTTCATCCTCTCCTGTCCTAGGTAGGTAGAATTGGGGGCTAATCATCTTATTCCAGTGGTTCTCAAACTTTGGGATGTATTAAAAATACAGAGGCCAAGGCTTGTTGCGGTGACGCAGGGTCTCCCATCTCTCGATCTAGGTCAAGAATTGCCAGATACCCCAAGGGAAAGCACCTTTGCCTTGTGTTATCTCGCCTGTCAACATGGTTTTCCTTTTTCTGTTATTTCCCTTTAATTCCTCATTGCCTCAGTGTTCCCCAATGCTTTTAAGCAAAGCTTGTGTGTGTGTGTGTATACATATATGTATATGTGTGTGTATATATATCAATAAAATATTATATATTACATCTCTAATATGTAAATATATAATATATAATATAGATATCTATATTATATATAATATAAATATATATTATATATAAATATATATTTTATATATATAAAGATGTATTTTATATATATACACTTTTTTCCTGTTTCCAGCTGTAGCATTGATGTGCTACAAACCACTGAATCATGCATGGAAGCAGCAAAAGTCTATGGTTTTATTATTTTGAAAACAAAACAGACGAAAAACTCATGGTTTTAGTTTCCTTTTTCTTTCAGGAAAAACATAAACAAGAATTGGAAGACATGAGGAAAGCTGGTCACGAAGCCCTCAGCATTATTGTGGATGAATATAAGGTAGAAGTTTGAGAGTGTTGCTTACTTTTTTAAACCTTGGATAACTTTAGTAAAAAATGTACACATGTAGGTATGTGCAAACATATGCAAATTATATGTGTAGTCTTATTTTGCTACAGAATTTCTTTCCATTCAGCAGTAAATATCCATTGAAAGCATATTTGGTGGATAACAAAGGTTAAATTAGACACTGTTCTAGATTTGAGAAAGTTTGAGAATATTTGAGAATATAATATCAGCAGGTGAGGAAATTTAAGTACAAAATAATATAGAATTAATTGCTAGATTATCTTTTTTGTCTCTGCTGTGGTTCCTCTGACAGCAAAAATATTAAGGCATGAAATATATCAGAAAAAATACCATTATACCTTTTTGCTTTTCTTAAATTAAATCGATTTAGGTACACTTTAGCAATAACAAATTATAATGTCAATATCATAGATATACAGTAAAACATTAATATTTAAAATTATTTTAAAAATTATTCAATTCTGTGCTTGCATAAGCTGAATTATTTAAAGCATATTGAGCATTTAATGTCAAATTTTTATTTCCCTTTAAGCTTCATGTTAGATCATTTTTCTTTTACAAGTAATGAAGGAATGAATACATTTTTATTGAAATAAAATACAGTTATCCCCAGAAGTAACCAGTATTGGCAGTTCCATTGTACATTCTTCTAAGAGATTCTCTATCTACTTGTATATACTTATATGCTCATAACATGCTATATAGTTTTCAATTGATTTAAAAAATGTTATCTTACTAAATTTACTCTTTCTTGCTGTATTTACTCACTGACTTGGAGACATTTTCATGTCAGTATATATAAACTTTTCCTATTTTTGTTACTCTTCTATAGTTTTCACAGTATTAAATATACCATAATTTGTTTAACCATACATGTTTAGATAGGCATTTTGTTTTTCATTGTTCATTATAATAATAAATATAAAAAATTCTCCCTATTACAGTTAGAATATAGAAATTTTTGTGTTGTTGATTAAACTTCCTCACTAGACTTGTTAGAAGTTAATGTCATTTTAGTTGATAATTTAGTATCAAAAGCTTCCTTAAGAAATCATTTGGGCCGGGCGCGGTGGCTGAAGCCTGTAATCCCAGCACTTTGGGAGGCCGAGGCGGGTGGATCACGAGGTCAGGATATCGAGACCATCCTGGCTAAAACGGTGAAACCCCGTCTCTACTAAAAATACAAAAAATTAGCCGGGCATGGTGGCGGGTGCCTATAGTCCCAGCTACTCAGGAGGCTGAGGCAGGAGAATGGTGTGAACCCGGGAGGTGGAGCTTGCAGTGAGCCGAGATTGTGCCACTACACTCTAGCCTGTGCGACAGAGCAAGACTCCATCTCAAAAAAAAAAAAGGGGGGGAAATTATTTGAATAAAAGTAGGAAAATAAATAGATCCAGAATTAAGTGAAAAGTGTCTTTTTTTTTCCCCCACACGTAGGGTATTAAAATAGTCTACTAGATATGTCTTAGGACATGAAAGGCCATTTTTGTGACCATACCTAATGTAGTAGTTGATGCTTGTTGTTAAAAAGGTCATTAAAAAGTGTCTGATTTTGGTGGAGCGTGGTGGTTCACACCTGTAATTTCAACACTTTGGGAGGCCAAGGCGGGCAGATCACCTGAGGTCAGGGGGTCCAGACCAGCCTGGCCAACATGGTGAAACCCCATTTCTATTAAAAATATAAAAATTAGCTGGGCATGGTGGTGCACACCTGTAATCCCAGCTACTCAGGAGGCTGAGGCAGGAGAATTGCTTGGATCCTGGAGGCGGAGTTTGCAGTGAGCCGAGATTGTGCCACTGCACTCCTGCCTGGGTGACAGAGTGAGACTCCGTCTCAAAAAAAAAAAAAAAAAAAAAAAGTCTGATTTTTATAGCAGTGATAATTGGCCCTTTTATAATGTTTTTAATATTTATTAGTATAAACCGGTTTTACAGTTATTGAGTTGAGGAAAAGTCCTATATTATTATAGTATTGATTTTGACAACTTATTTTATCCCTAACGCTGAGGGTAGGAAGAATTAAAATACAGTTGGCCTAATATATTTGCAGATTCCATAACCATGGATGAGAAATATTTGGGGAAGAAAAGCAATAAAAATAATAGTACAACAGTAAAAAGTGACACAAATTACTTGCTATCTAAAAAAATAGAAGCATATGGTAAAATAATTATAACATGAACTTCTTATGCTTGAATCTAGAATCGTTAAAAAAATCATTCCACTTCTTGTTCTTAATGTGCCACAAATCATCAACACGTTATGATTTTTTTCTATATGAATTATTTTCCCTTTTTCCATACTATTATGAAAGCCGATTCTCAGCATATTTTAGAACACCTTGGTTGTGAAATTTTACATGACAGCCAATATATCTGATAATATTTCTCCTCAGAGTACTATAATATTATTGTATAAGATCGATGGGGAATTCAACAAGTCATATGATTAATCAATATGCAGTGAATTTTCACTGATTTAAAAGTATTTATATCCTTTGACTATATCCTTTGACTGAGCTATGAAATAAAAAATTAAATATAACTTTGTAGGCAATTTGATTGAATTCCTAATCCATTTAACAAGTCATCTAAACATCTGAATATTTTACTTTTCTCTTTAACTAATTGCTAAGTAATGACACTGTACAAATATGTAAAATGGGTAGCTCTTAACCAAGTTTCTTCAAAATGGCATTTGTAAATACTAGAATAGTTATCACTTATGATTTTATCCTCCTTAGTTGCCAGTATTGAAATTTATACCAATAATTATGTTTGCAGCAAAGAAAATATTGTGGCATTAGAACCAAAACAGTGGTTTAAAACATCAAATACCAACCTGTTTAGAAAAACAGCTAAGCACACTCACAATAACAAGACAAATAATTTTTAATTTTTCATTAATATTTTGAAAGCCATATTTTACTGTAGTGTATGAAAATTTGATAGATGATTCATTAATTATTAGGTATTTCAAAAGGAAACCAAAATATCTCTAGTTACTATTGTTAATAAAAGTTGTGTGAACATTCTCTTTGCATTTATTCATTTCTTAATTCAGCAAAGATTATTGATTATCTTCTTTATGCCAGGGATTATTGTAAATACAGCAGTGAGCAAAATATTCAAATCCTTGTTTCAGTGGGATATAATTCCACGTCTACATTCCATGACTACATATGATATTTAGGAAGGAAGGAACTTAAAGTCATAGCATTCCTTGACATTTCAGTTTTCAGGGTTTCACACTTTTACCTCTCCCTCCCCTGTAAATGTTTACTCAAATATGCAACTGGAATAGAAAAATTTGCTACTGTCTCACCACCAGTCCTGGCTCCTGGGGATCTTACATCCTTCTAGTTATCATGGACTAGATATAATCAATCACTTTTTTCCTGTCCAAGTTGAGCTGAAATATTGTTGAGGAGTTTGAAAAAATATTCCTTAGAGAAGAAAGTGGAAAATACCAAGTAAAGTAAAACAGAAATGGCAAAAGCCTAAAATGTAATGCATAGTAAGATAACTTATCTTTGTATAAACTTCTGCTTCCAGAAATATGAAGACATAACTTTTGATATTTTTCCTATTTACTACAGATTAAAAAAAAACCTGGATGTTTTATATAAAAATATAGTCCCTGAAATAAGTCCCTGAAAGTAAGACAGAAACAGGCAGACTAGCTAGGAACTATGAGACCCAAGTAACTACATGGTAGTGGGTTCCCTGGATTTTCTTTTTACCCTTTTTGTCCCACCAGAGTACTGGAGAAGTGAGTAACCCAGAAATACCAATGGGCACATAAAAACAAACCTCAAGAAAAATCTACTCTCTCTAACCAAAATCCTCCACCTAGTAAGACAGAAAAGTATTAGATAATAGCCATTTTACTTCCACCAAACACCATAGGAAAAAATGACAGTGAAGGCTTGTTAGAGCAAGAACTTAGATTTTCACTCTTATCAGGTTATAAATGAGGAATTGTATCTCCTCCCTGGGGTGGTGTTAAAGAAGGTGGAGCAGGGAACTAGGACTTTAATTCATCCTGGGCAGTAAACCCCCTTCCTGCAAGTGTCAGGATAGGCCATCTAGGAAACTAGACTTCTACCCTAAGCTGGTATTGATGAGGTATTCCTCCCTTACTGTGTTGGGAAGATATCAAGGGATATCTAATGGTAATCAAGCCTGTCATTACTGCTTGGTAGTAATGAGGCCACTCCTCTGTGGTTTCAGTGGATGGTTTGTGGGGAACAAGAATGTGGCACCCTTACTCCTCATAGCCTGGTTGGTATCAGTGGAGGCCTAGTGGGAAGCTGAACTCCCAACCATGTCCAGAAATAACAAGGAGATCCTTGTTCCCTGTATGCTGAGTGCTAGTAGAGACTGAGTTGGATACCTAGACTTCCACCCTACCTGGAGATTTTCCTTTTTTTCTGCTGGAGTGGTGTCCTGTCAGAAGAAATCTCCTGAAACATGATTTCAGATGTCTAGATTTCAATTAAAAATTACTTATATGAAGAACCAAGAATATTTTGTCTTGAATGAAAACCAAAAAGGAAAACAGATGCTGAATTGAGCAGCTTCCAGTTTTAGAATTATCTGACAAGAATTTTAAGTATCTGACAAGAATTTTAAATCATTAATTACAAAAATGTTTTAACAAGTGATTATGAACATTCTTGAAACAAATGTGAAAACAGAAAATATCAGCAAGTGTCAGCAAAGTAATAGATTCTATAAAGAAGAACCAACTGGCAATTCTAGAAGTAAAAATATAGTAACCAAAATTAAAAACTCAGAGATGGGCTCAATAGTGGAATGGAGAAATAAGGAAAGAATCAGTAAATTTGAAAAAAATAGAAATTACCCAATTTGAACAGTGTAGAGAAAACAGACTGAAAACAAATGAATAGGGCTTTAGGAATTTGTGGGATTATGATGAAAGACCTAAAATTTATATCATCTAAGTCC